AGGCCTATGACGAGGGACGAGTGAACCGCCCACTCGACTTCAATCTTGGCCTCGCCAGCGAGGAAGCTAGCCAAAGTGACACTGTCTCTGTCAAGGAATCTCATGCGTGGCTCATGGAACCATGCGCATTCCTCACGTTTGAGGAGAACTTGGATATAAAAGTAGTCCGGCTCTGGCTAAGTGCGTCCAAGCTACCACTTTATGTTGGATGCCCCACAACTTGTAAGTTCTTGATTGGTTTTTGGATGATCTAGCTAAAGCTCGAGAATTTGGGATGTTTCAGTTGAGGAGCTCAGGCAAATGGCAGTGCCACTGGCGGAACCAACTAACTTCGCTTTAGAAGAGAACCTCCCATCCAAGTTCCAGATCACAATGAGGGAGACAACGCTGATAGGTGCAAAACCATGGGCTGTCTCTTCAGCATCCGGCGCCTAACGACTTGCCCGAGACTTGCCCGGCCTTCTTCAAGTGTTACGCGAAGGTACGTTACCCCATCACGAAAACCGAGGGAGGCTACCCGTCCCATGGTCGGATCACTGGTGATGTTGAGGTTGACAAGATTGAGTTTGAGGAGGGCGTGGAAGGCGATTTATGTGATTTCAAGTTCAGTGAAACACCGCGGATGTACAGGCGGCTTGCTGCATTGATCTACTCCAGGGACGTTTGAGGTTACTACAAGGAGTTGCATCTTGACTTTTCTTTCTTTTTTGCTCGGTAAGACGAGAACACGCATTTAAGAAGGTTTTATTTGCGGGCAAATGCTTGTCGATCGCCACCGTTGGCTCGGGGATCTCATCGCTTAGATCACTCTGTCCTTTGCTTATGGTGTTCGCAGAGCAGAGTTTCACGACAGGCTTCTCTACACCAAGTCCAGAAATAACTTCACCTACATGGATTGGTAGAGAGGGAAAATCACAGACACAGTGGTCTCCAATCCAGAGCCAGAGAGTGAGGGCCAGTTTATGGCTGGTCCAAAGATCGGAGGATGAGACGTCAATCTTTGTTTCGTTTCGTTTTTTTCTTTTTTCTATGATCCGGCTCTTACCCCGGAGACGAAGCTATAGTTGACATCAGTGGACGCTCAATCTCTGGAAGAAAACTGCTGCGAGTGACAATCGCCTCCTGCCGCCATGATCTTGCCGAAAACTCGGCTGGCAGTCGCCGGATCCCAAAAGAGACCTTACCATACGTTGGCCATCTCCGTCCGAGCTGAGCACATTGGCGTAATAAGGCGAGTGCATCATCGATGAACGCCATTCTTCAAGCCTACCGTGAGTGGAATACGTCCACTATGGCTCCAGGAGTTGTTGGACTTTGACCCAGCCAAGCCCATCGATGATGTCGTGGCACTCGTTGTGGCACCATTGGAGCCGGGGGAGCTGCTCAGGGGAATTAACGACTCTCCAGTTCTAGGAGGCCAGATCAGCAGTCCCTGATACCTCATACCGAAGCCGTGATGGTTTGCATTGAGCACGCAGTGTGTGGCTCTGCAAATCCAAGCTTCGGGTTTTCTACCCGCTTGCTGTAACTTGGAAGTTTTTCCAAGTTTGTAAGCTTTCTAGGTCCGTGCTGTAATGTTTTTGATGCTTACCTTGCAGACCAAGATATAGCAAAACTTCCCATCAATGTTCCAAAGGTTTTGGTACGTCGCTATTGAAATGTACCATGTGCCAATCAAACAGGAACGTTTGTATCCATCTCATCACCTCTGGAACGAGGGCTCCGAGTTATAGCCATCGATGACAGGTTGCCTATTATTTCTTTTTCAGGAGCCACCTCGCCATCTTTTTACCTGAATGTTTACATGGAGCAATGCTGAATGTTTACATGGATTATCTTTGATGATTTTGGCAATGCAAGTCTGAGATGTCTTCGTCCCGGGCAGGGCGGAATACCATCACAAAGTAGGTTTAAACTTTCTAAATTGACCGGGCAAGATATATTTTGCCTTGTCCACCACTAACATCCAGGAGCGGAGAGCATCCAAAGGTACCATGCCTCACGCTCACGGAGTGATTGGAAATTCGATAGGTCAACAGTTACATTTAAGGATGTTTCTAGAGAGAGAGAGAGATGTTATGGTCACTGCAGCGCCGGGGCATTGGACCTTTCCGATTTTGTATTGAGATGTGGACGATGACTGGCTGGTGTCAATGATGACTGGACTTGGTGTGAAGGAGATCAGTCTCGCAGTCAAGCGTTAGCTACCGCTTACGCTGAGAATGCTCCGTTCTGTTTGGCAGCTTCCAGCCGTTTCGGTCCAGAAAGTCCCAAGCAAGGAGGTTATGAAGCGGGGTTCGGGGAAGGAGAGTTGCAGGCGAGTGTATGCCAGGCATCAAAAGGTTGCGCGCTCTTTGTCTTTAACCTGATCTGTTGGCAGATTGGGCGGGTGGGCGGGTGTTGCCACACACCAATCACGCTGTGAAGATTACCTCTTAGTGTGCGTCGAGCTCATTTCCAGACTTTCTATTCGAACACTGGTAGTGCTTGGGCAGGATGGAAAACGTCGGTGCTTTTGTGAAGTTTTTATGGTGATAACAATGACTTTGCTGCCACCTCGATGGAATTGATGAGACATGCTGCAAGCTGTGTTGTCGCCGTTGAGCTTCGCTCTCGTAGCTTCTCCATGTCGCTCCAGATTGTGGTAGCTTCTCCCTAGCTTCTCTGCTTCAGAAAAGTTTGGAGAAATCAAACACGGCATCAAGCTATAGAAGGAACCGTTCCATTCTAGAACTTTATGTGTCAGGAGGGAATTTTATTCTGGATGATGGTGACAAACATAAACAGTTTATGCTTGCAACCATCTAAAACAGAATGGGGCATTCCGAGAATTGAACTCGGGACCTCTCGCACCCTAAGCGACAATCATACCAGTAGACCAGATGCCCATTAACACTTTAGTCGTTCTTCCGTGATCCGCGAAACGCGAAATAAAATCTTTTAAACAGTTGGAAGTGAATGTGGCACCGCCTTTGGCACGCCACATTACAATCCAAATCCAACACCTGCCCTCGCAATGCTGCACGGGGCCCCATTTCTGATTGAAAAAAAAAAAAAAAAGCATCAGCACCACGGAAGCAAACGATCTTCGAGAAAAGCTCTTCCACAAAACCAAATCTTTGCGCAACACCGCAACTAACGCAGAGATGGCGATGTCATCGATTCCAGAAAACGAGCGCTTTTATTTACCATTTGTTTTGTTTATACACACTTAGCAAATATCTTACACCATCCGTGTAGCGCTTCTTCGTCTTGGCCATCAAGAGTGAGGGCAAAAAAACAAGCTTTTTTCCATGGCTTCCTCGCATACTTTTAGCAACCGGTGCCTTGGTTCTGTTTTATCTAGTAGCGAATAAGTAGCGTAGACATATATGATCAAGCCGAGCCTTTGTCTGAGAAGAGATCTAGCAGCATCAACGTCTGCAACCGACGAAAGAACAAACCAAAGGGATGAGAAACAAAATCAAGAGCCGAGAGAGGACAGCACACCTCTGGGACGGACAATTGGAGACGAAACTTGGGACCGTCGTAGTGATGGAGCACGGGACGGAAAGCATCCTCCTCCAGAGGCTTGTAGTTCATTCTAACTCTTATGCGAACCTGGAGAGGACAAAGCGAGAGAAAGTTAAGCCCGGATCCTCACACACGCTCGAGAAGCAAATGAGAAAGAAGTGAAGACAAACCTGTGCAGGGAACCGAGATTCTCCACGACACTTCTTGTCTTCCCACGCAGTAGGATCTATGTTTGAGCCCCCAAAACTCGCAGCCTGTAGAGTCACGCAAAAGTTTGGATTCGCCATCAACATGAGAGTCACAAATCCTGAGAGAGAGGTAGCTTTACCTCGTACACCCCGTGAAGCTGGTGCGTAGTATAGTTGTAAAGAAACAAAGGCAGGCCCGGCTGGATAGCACGAACAGAGTCACGGTACCTTTGAGGCAAGCCTGAAAGCGCAAAAGAAAAAAAAAACAAGCTTTCAGTCATAGCTACGAAGAAAGACAGAAAAAAAACGAGAGAGGACTTACCAAAGAGCTGGCGCTTGAGGTCCTCTTGCATGGTATCATTGTTGCAAACAAAGATATAGCCACCAAGCGTTTCATTCCGTGGTAGCATCTCCGACGGTGGAAGCGTCTTGAAACGCTTGTCAAGCCCCGAGGATCCCTGCTGCTTCTCTAGATTCGCTTGCTTCTGCTCGAGGAACGACTGCTTTGGATTCCCGAGTCCGACACCACCACCGCGCTTGAGATCGCTGGCCACTTTCTTCACCTCGTTGACAGTGATCCGCGGCTTGGGGTCAAACTTTTGCTTGCCCAGGACTGGTAGCTGCGCCTGGTGGTGCTGCTTGAAAGCCTGGAGCGATTGGAGCGAGGGAGTGCCTCGCCATTTCCAATCCACCGCCTTGTGATCTACCGGCTCGTCCGGCAAGTTCCAGAAGGTCGCCAGTGTGCCCGGCTTCCAAATTCCACACTGCAAGGCGCCACCAGATTTTTAGCCCTCTGCGAAGAGAATCTCAAGAAAACTGGCACTGGAATGGAATGCACTTGCGGCCAAGCACAAAGAGCTAAGATTCTACCGAGCAAGGGTTTGTAGATCTGGAAGATCTCACCTGAGCTTAGAAATCAACGCGCAAAGCAGCGGCTAGAAATCGTAGATCGAGCTGCCGGAGGTGATGATAGATCGCTGCGCACGCCCTCCACAGTCGTCCCTGGCGATGGCCCGTGAAACCGCGTTCTTACGCGCACAGAAAAAATAGAAGGGGCAAAATAGCTTACACGTAGAAGAACTAGTCAAACGTCACGGGTTCGATTCCTTCCAGCCCATCCGGCCAGGGTTCGAATCTCACTAGCATAAACTTAACTGTCAAGTACAAGTTAAGAGCTTAACCGGCAAATTATTTAACGGAATTATTTCCAGGGTTCGAATCTATGTAGCGTAATTTAAGTTCGAACAAACAAAACTTAACTTTAAGTTAGAGAGATCCGCATACTCCCAAAAAAGAGTATATTCATAATAACCGGCCAAATATTTAAAGGAATTAACTTTTACACAATTTTTAAGCCATAACAAAACCTTTCGTTCAATAGGAAGCAAACAAACAGAGGGAGAAAGAGAGAGAGAGAGGGAGAATGGAGATAGACGCCGACGACGCTAAAACGCGAATCCTTTGCTTTCTCCTCTCTTACTCGAACGCCCACTGGTTCTCCCGCCGGACCTCCTCCTCTTCCTCGGGCGTGAAATCGTTCTTGATGTTGAAAGTCTTGCGGATCTCCTCCGGGGTCTTGCCCTTGATCATGTCCGCCACGGTTTGGCACGTCAGATCCAGCAAGTTCCGGATGTTGAGATAGTTCGCGGCCTGGAACAAATCACCCAAATCGATTGTCAGTCGAAAGCTCAAGACCCAAAACGAGAAAAGCGAGAGAAAAAGGGGGGAAGAAATCGAACGAAGAAATCCTACCAGGATGAGGTCGAAGAGCGTCGCCTGATCGACCTTGACGAACTCGGCGTCCCAGGCCTTGATCTCCTCCTCGGTGGGCACGACCTTGGAGTCGTCGCCGCTCTTCTGGGCATCGACGTGGTACTTGGAGTACTCGATCACCTTGGCCAGGATCTTGCTTGGGACGTTGGGCAAGGGTATCGGCGCGTCCGACCCAGTGTCCTCGATCATGTTCTTCACCGTCTGGGACTCGAGCGCCACGGCCTCGTCCACCTCAAACATCTCACCATCGCTGCTGCGGAGCTTTACCTTGGTCGACATCCTCCTCGCTCTCTCTTCTTCCTTCCCCTACCCTTGCAACCCTAACAACGCCTCTCTTAGTACGAACGCTTTCCTTATCTCGGCCTTTTCTAGACTTGTGGCCCGGATTCGAACCCGGGACCAGCAAAACGTACTAAAATAAATGAAGAGGACTTTTTTTGCTGCCTTCACGAAGGATTGAACTCAAGACCTTGAGTTTACAAGACTGACGCTCTACCAGTGAGGTACAAAGGCATTTGCACGAAAAGACTCAATTGACTACCATTGACTCTTTGACTAGCCAAAGGGTCTATTTAGTAATGCCTCCATGGAGGATTGAACTCCAGGCCTTCAGTTTACAAGACTGACGCTCTACCACTGAGCTATAAAGGCATTTCCAAAAATCTCCCGTTTTGACCGTCCTTTGACTCGCTAGGGCGAGCAAGATCGTTGACCGATATTCTCTTAATTCACAATAAGACGATCTCGCGTTATTTTTGATGAGACGATATACCTCGTCCTCAAAAGGTGCGGAGGCGGAGCTGGATATGGCGTAGCTTCCATGCTTGGCACATCGAGGTCCGGGTATATAAACACTTTATACAAGAGTGTCAAGCACAGATCACGGCGCAGTAGTTCTCTGATCAATCCTTTTGGGAAGTTCTTCGGGGATCCCTCGCTCCAATCTTCGTGGAAGAGTTTACTACAATCGCAATGGCCTTGATCGCGTCCTTGACCAACAAAATGCTGCTGCTGCTCCTCGTCGCTGCCCTCATGGCCGCGGTGGTGGTCGACTCCTCCAGGATGATCCAGCGTCTCGACGATGTGGTTTTGCTCTCGCCACCAACGGGGCCTAATCCGGGCGGGAACTCGAAGGATCTGGACGAGGTGGCAATGGAATTCATCTCTCCGCCAACCGGTCCCAGCCCTGGTGGTAACGGTGGATCGCGGTTTGAGGTCTCGAAGCCCCGGACGCCATCTCCTCCGGCCGGTCCGAGCCCAGTCCACAATGGAGAGGGCCAGTTCGTCGTCTCCAAGCCCCGGACAACGCCATCTCCTCCGGCCGGTCCGAGCCCAGTCCACAATGGAGAGGGCCAGTTCGTCGTCTCCAAGCCCCGCACAACGCCATCTCCTCCGGCCGGTCCGAGCCCAGTCCACAATGGAGAGGGCCAGTTCGTCGTCTCCAAGCCGCGCACAACGCCATCTCCTCCGGCCGGTCCCAGCCCCGTCCACGACGAGATCGATCTTCACTTGGTTCCAGCGGGTCCGAATCCACTCCACAACTTTGGAACCGTGTTCCATAGCGTTCCGGAGGGGCCAGATCCAGTTGGAAACTAGGGTGGAGCTATGGTGGTTTTGCTTCTATTGATTTTTTTTTTCTTGCCATTCATGCTTGTTTCTTAATTCGCCAACACTTCGTTTTTTCTGGCTCAATTGAATCCTCTCTTGGATAAATCTTGTAATTACATGCAAAGAAATTGACAATGCTGAATTAATCGCCCCAGTGTTCTTTGAGATTGCTCTTCCTAGATTCCAAAGCTGGCGCTAATTTGTTCTCGGAATTTCTGACAACATGCCCGAACGGCAAAGTTGGCGCTAAATTTAAAAGCAAACGAGAGGGATATTCGGTCCTTTGTGCTAGACTTAGGGTTCTTTCATGAGACAGTGGCTATGGCGGAATGCCGCTGCTGCGCGAGCTGGGATATCTGGCTTTCGATCGCGGGGCCTCTCCAGCTGCGCTCTATTCGGCGTTGAGAGCAGCGCGCCGTGCTTACGCGATTTTCTTGCCCGGCGTCAAGACGCGACGCACAGCTTGATCTTTGTGAGGCACAAGAAGCTCCGGCTTGGGCCTACGACGAACAAGGTTCTGGCGCTGGAGAATGTGGCAAGTTGGAAGTAAGTTTCGATGCTTTCGGGGCGTGTGGAGTTAGATCTGATTGATTGAACTACGATTTTTTCCAGAGCAGGCAGAATGAAGTTCCGAATGAAAGAACTAAAGCGCCTTATGATGTGCTCCCGAGAAGAACTAAGATGCAAAGAGCACGGGACTTGGTGGATGCAGTAAGTTCTTCTCTCTCTCTCTTTTCTTTTTATTTCTTCTGGATCTTTCAAAACTTCGTGCACAGGTTTTGCCACTTCCCGATGTCAAAGAGGAGA